CGCTTTACACAATTGATGTGTGTATGGATTGTGATAAGAGTTGTATGAGCCCCTAATAAAATGACTTAAAAAATAAACAAAAAGCAAATTAAGGAAAAAGTGAGTTAGCTTAAATATCAACAAAAATAAAATTCATATATTTTAACAGGATTCCTGAAAACAAGTAACACATATAGTACAAATTATTTTTATATTACTTTTTATTATGAATAAAATTCATCTTAAAAACACATTAAAAATGTGCACATCAGGATAACCAACCATTTAGGATCAAAAGGGCAGCATTTATCCAAAAACAAAATCCAGAGTTAAGAAGGAAGACGAAATAGATTATTGGAACCTCCTAAAAATAAAACACTATGGGCATCAAAAGATTTCACCAAAGAGTAAAAAGGAAACCTACATCCTGGGGAAAATTTTTTGGCAATGATTTATCAGACAAGGGACTAATCTCTAAAAGCAATAGAAAATTTCAATACCTCAACAAGAAAGAGACAATATAAATGGGCAGAGAACCTGGTCAGTTCACCAAAGACATAAAGGCAGCTAACATATGCAAAAATTTTTGTAATTATTAGCCATCTGAGAGATGCAAATGAAAACAATGAGATACCACCTTAACCCAGAACTAATAGTAAAGTTCAAAAAAGCAGAAAACAACAAATGCTGGAGAAGATGTGGAAAGAGTGAAACCCTATACTGCAGGTGGGATGATAAAAGTGTGGAAGACAGTCTGAGTACGGCACTTCTTCAAATAATTAGGAACAGAAATACCATTATGACCCGGGAATTGCACTAAGTGGTATACGCCCTACAGAATTAAAGGACTGAGCCTGACCATATTTATGCACACCCATGTTTTTGAAGTACTATTCACTATTCATGGTAGAAAGATGGAAACAAATAAAATAAATGCCCAAGGTAGAAGAATGATATATACACACAATGGAGTACTATGTACATTGCTAAAGATGATGAAACTGTGAAACACCAAATGGCATGGACGGATGTGGAGGGCATTATATGCTGAGTGAAGTTAGCAATCACAAAAGGACAAGTACTGTGTGAGACCACTCTTATAAAAACAAATAAAAATCAAGAAAAGGTTTTCATACCAAATGAGAGAGACTTTGATGGCTAACAGGGGTGGGGAGGGAAGTGACAGACTTGTACGTAGATGGGAGCTGACTTGAGTGAAGAGGATGAAAACTTACTACAGGAGGGAGATGGTAGGGAAAGGGAGGGTAGGAAACAGGGCAAGCTATTAAGAGATGTAATAAGTTATCTAAATTGTTGAATACAAAAATGATGTATCTCCCACTTAATTTACCAAAAGCATGCATTAGTCATCGAAAAATGTACATGTCATTTAACTGAAAAGACTGCTAGCATTTTCCTATAAGAATAATAATTTATAAATTATCAAGGGCTCATGAGGGTGGGGGGAGAGGAGGGAGGGGGAAAAATGAGGAGCTGATACCAAGGGCTTAAGTGGCAAGCAAATATTTTGAGAATGATGAGGGCAACTGAATGTAAAAAACGCGCTTGACACAATGGATGTATGATAGATTGTGATAAGAGTTGTATGAGCCCCCAACAAAATGATTTTTTTTAAATGTCCATGTCTTCAGAAATAAAAATCAGCTGAACTCCAAAACCTAAGGACAGAGAAGAATATTCTACAATTTCCACAATTTAGAAGATAATCCGTCACTACCAATTTAGAAGACATTAGTCACCACTAATCTTATTATTAGTTACTAATAAGTAACTAACCCAGGTTAATGCTCTTAAAACACCATTTTGTATGTATCCTCCCCTTCTCCATATTCTCTAAGTCATCTTGGAGCCATTCTTTTCGTTAGTAATCTGATGTTAATGAAACCTACAAGGTTGCATTTCTAGGGTCATGGCTATATTACCTTAAAACAAGATAATTCTATTAATAAGCCACTTGGCATATATAAGATTCTAGTTACCAAAATGTTCTTACACATTTAATCCTCAGCTGCAGAAAGCTGAGCAATCATTAACTATATCAAGCCCTTAATCCCAGATCCAGATCTTAAATAGGGCTGAGACATAAAAATGGAAACATTTTGTAGTAAGTAGTTGAACTGGACAGGGGTTGGGGGGGTGGTATATTCACTGGGAGTAGGGTCCGTTATGCTTAAATATTCTAGTTCTATTTCCAATAGTATGCCAGAGAAAACAAGGGATTATTATAAACTTCGTG